AGAGAGAGAGAGAGAGAGAGAGAGAGAGAGACAGAGAGAGACAGAGAGATACAGGGTATTGAGTTGCAAGGACCATGTAGCCAGGCAGAGGGAAAATGGGAAGATACAGAGATTCTGAGAGGAGTTAAAGCCCAAGTCCAGAAGGACAGTGAAATGTACCAGAGGTGCCAGCCAACAAGGCTGCCTGCTAAGCAAGCAGATCCCAGGCTCTGAGGCCACTTCCAGAAACATACAGACCTGTGTGTAAGTCCTGGTGTGCATCAAACAGCTCCTGACACCTCTCTTCAGCCCTGTATGCCCGGATGGTCCAGAGCCCCTGGAGGGAGGAGGACAAGTGGGAAAATACCGGACTCCGTGCTGCAGAAACGCAGAAACACAGACAGACAGACACAGAACAGAGGAAGCTTGGTAAGGCTGGATGCAATAAACCAGCTGCCTCTTATAGTCCATAGTCACACATCCCACCAAGGGTAAAACTAGGGGCTCTGAGTTTCCAGACAAAATACTCCTAGCAACCTAGAGAGGTCCCTCCCTGCCAACACTCAATCCACAAGCAAAGCAGACCTCCTTTCAAGGACTGGGAAATCAAAGTCCCTCTTCCACCCAAGTTCAAATCTAGTTATCATTCTCTCTTTGCTAACCCATCCTTCAAGGTCCCCTCCTCCATACTCTTCTAGACATCTCTTTGGGCAGAAATTATTTTTCACTGATTTTTGAGCCAGGAGCTTTTTTTTTTTTTTTTTTTTTAATGATTCTGTTAAGAATACGCAGCACAATGAATAACAATGATCTATTAATGTGTCTGCTCCCACCTTAGAGTGTCCATTTAGGGAAAGAGGATAGCTGTGGTAGCCCAGTAACTAAAACAGCACCTGACACAAGACAGGTGCTGACAAGCAGACTGAACAGACAGCGTGTCACCTCCTTGCACCCCGAGGAACCTTCCTCTGCTAAGTGGTACAAAAAGAGTCCTTTATGGTCACAGTGTACCTGGGAGTCACACTGTACTTGTGTCCACAGAATCTGCTCAGCCAAGAGGTCTTTGACTGATCTCGACCTCAGCTGTAGGACCATGAAGGATGCCTTTGTAACTACCCTACCAGAAACCTGTCCTCATGTTTGGAGGTCACTGTGCCATATGACTTTCTAGAATCTGTGGCCTTATGGGCTTTATCATCTTAGAAGGTAAATTCTCCTTTGTGTATCTTCGTTGTATTTTGGGGGGTTTTTTGGTACTGGAGGTTGAACTCAGGACCTTGCACTTATCAGGCAGGCACGGTGCCACTGAGCTAAATCCCCAGCCCTGTATCTTCATTTTGCTTTGGGATATGTGCTCCATGACTGGCCATGTGTTTCAAGCACACTGGATCATGACCAGCAGGCCCAGCTGCCCACACATGGGGACATGTGGGCTGCCTGCTGCCAGGGAGGATGGTTCTGATAGTCTCTCTTCCTTCCACACTGTGAACAGGGCCATACTGGGCTAGGGGTATCAGGGCTTATACCCACCACTCTGTCTTTACCATCTGTCTGGGATGAGCCATTTGTGCTTTGTGGGTAGGAAATACTGACAAATCACTTTGTTACCTATCTGCATTCTAGAGAAGTCCTGTTGGTAAAACATGGAGCAGTTAGGAGAAGTGAAGCCTATTTATCTTACAAGAGGCTGTGTCTATTTTATAAGATGACAAGTGGGTAAAAATCAAGGGAAAAACCCAAAGTTATTCTGTAGGTCATACAAGTGCCAGTTTTGGACAATGTGGTACACCATGGATGTTCTCACTGTGCCCATGGGTGCTGTGCATGTTTGGGGGCACTGGGGTACATGTGTACCAAGACACAGGACCGCCTCATGAATCAGAGTCCACAGTTGTACCAGCAAGGAGGAAGAGGGCTTCTAAGTGTGTATGACACTCAGGTCAGAGAAAGTACGGCACCTCAGCCATGGGTCTGCTGATTGCCAGCTCCTCCCTGGGGCTCTTTGCTGAGCAGGATATATCTTTTAATTGATACTTGTTTCCTTTAACTCTGCACTGTTTAGATGGTAATGGGATGTAAGAGGACTGAGCTCATTCTCCAAATAGGAAAGGTGGGAGCTTCCCACAGGCCTTTGCTGTAGACTTCAGAAGATGTTCCCACCTGCCCCAGAGCTCAGGCACTCTGCAAACAGGGTGCTCCCAGGGACGACCAACCCAGGCTCCCACATCCCAGGGGCCTACCAGGAGTATGCCAAGAGTCTAGCTCCAGAGAACTCAGAACACTCCTTAGAGCCATGGGCTCGCATTTATGGAACTAGCTGGTGTCATGACAAGAACACTATTTCACCAGAGACGATGGCACTTAGAAGGAGGCAGGTGTGGTGATCACCCATGCAGGGTCTTCCAAGGAAGCCTTCAGCTTGGCCATTCCCACCTGTGTCCCTTATGTGGAGACCGAAGTCACCACTGGCTCTCTCTGGCTTGGCTTAGGGCAGGGTCCACTTGACAACTGCATCCTGGCCACAAGGACCAGGAAAGTCAAGCCCAAGTCACACACCTGACCTCTCCAAGAGGGCTGCCGAGGTACAGCAGGAATCTACACACATGAGAGATAATCCTGCCTCTGTCATACCCCACTGGGGCTGAGAGCAACGTCAGTGGGGATGCACTGAAGGGACTTCGAAGACCATTAACTAGTCCCGGGGGACAGCGCATGGCACAGCTCTGGGTTATCTTGCCTTTCTCCTACACTAACCCAGAGGGCTATCCTGAAATAGACTCCAACACCATGGGATCGGTATAACGCTACACATTTCACAAGGCCCACAGCTATGCTTTCCACAGCCCCAAGGCTTCATCAGGTCATACCCAGAAGGACTGAGTATCTTTTCAGGGAAAGAGCAGGGCAGAGATCTCAGTGTTCATTAGCACTCTGGCAGAGCTTCCAATTATTATGCTTTTAATTCCCTTACGTGTGAGGTGCTAGTATCCTCAGTAGTGGCCAGCAAGCATTTTGCAGGCACTGTCTCAGGCCATCCTCAGGAGACCCCCAAAGGGCAGGTATCATTACGGCCTTAACAAAGGATAATGGATCTGAGGCATTAACCACACTGCCCATGATTAAATAAATTGTTCCATGTAGTACATTTGGGTGCCAGACGCAACTCTTATTCCCAAGGCTGAGCTTTTAATCTGAGACACAGAGTCTCAAGGGGTCAATAATTAGAGTTAAAGCTCTCACGTGTTACTAGGCATATTTTTCTCTAGACTTCATAGCTCATGGTTAGAAAACTCCCAACTCTTACTTTACTACCCATTAGGCTTCCCTAAATTTAACAATAGCCCTGGAAACCTGGCATGGGGACTCTTTAAAATGACAGCTTCAAAGGTATATGGTCTGAAAGCAAGTAGCACGTGCTGATGATCCACTCACAGATGGGTACCAGTGGGCAGACATTGCTAATGGAGAGTGTGCAGATACGGCTCACAATCCAGGCACTGCCAGACTAAGAGAGTTGGCTATAGAAATGCACCCAAATACCATCCTAGTTTTATGTACCTCTGTATGACTGTTGCTACATTTGCCTTTGGAAAAGCAAAAATCATTATGATCAACTATTATTAAGAGTGCTTAAATATCAGCCTGGCAGCTAGGCAGTAGGATCTGAAAATAGACCTTGGGGCTCTAGATGTCCCTCAAAGTTCAAAGATGAAGTAGGTCTACGCCTCTTGCCACAGCCATCAGGCAGCCTTCTTTTTGCTGGTGACTACAATCAGTGACCTCAAAAAACATTAGCAATTGTTGCTTAGAAAGAACAGTAGAGCTGTTACAACACAAACCCATACCCAGATGGATGATAATAAATGGTTCATTTGCTTATCTGGGGACGTGGAGAAGGGAATATCCATATTTAACTCCATGTCACAGCCAACAAGGGTACAGAAAAACCCAAATTCTCCACAGGGGCCATGACAAAGATGTAAGACTCTTCATGTCAAAATTAACCAAGGTTTAGGTTATGCTCAAGGCTTCAAGAGGTAAGATTCTACCTGCTTCTTGCAAAAAGCTTTCTCTCTTTGGGATGGGAAGTGGCTCTTGCCACAGATAAAAATCTATGTCAAAGTGTTCCTTCTGGAATGAACAACCCTTCCTCAAATATACCTGAGGCTTCCTTTGCAACATTACTGGTGAATAACTCCATTTCCCAAGTGGCTTCAACTCATAAAACGTCTAAAAGCTTGTGTCTGCACAGAAAACCAGGGGCCAATGAAATGCACACAGAGGGGTCTCCAGCAAAGCAGTCCTCCACGGCCTGCCTCCTGAGGCCTGTCACTGTGACACAAGTCACATCTCACATCAGCACAGCACTGTTATACATGGGGACACCACGCATGACAGGGCTTCACGGTGGTTCAGCAGGTCCCCCTGATGACAGAAAAACTCTTCTGTACCTTTTATGAACTGTCACTCACTCCAGTTTATACAGACAGTCATGAAAAATGACTCGTAAGAGTTTATTATTAAAAAAGAGACACATATGCCACGAGAAAAGAACTCCTATATCCCAATGAACTCATATTTTTTCTTCTTAGTAGATACTGGGAGCCAGGGGACTCAGTATTTTTCTCTTGTTGGCTTGGTTTTCAGAAAGATGAGTTGGCATTCAGTTGCACTAACTATTCATCACAGAGATTTTCTGATGGAATATCTTCCTTTTTTACTTTTGGCTATGTTCCTTAAAGCTTTTCTAGAAATTAACAATTCTACTCTCCTTATGGTGTTAAATTTTAATAATAATGAAATATGTTACTTTGTATATTCATAATGAGATGAGCTCTGGATTAATTCATCCTCTGTGATTATCTGCAGAATACGGTGATTAATCATAAGACATTTTTCCCATTATGCCCAAACTAGAAAGTTAAAGAGAGAAATAAATAAACTAAATGCATTCTAAACTCTCCTTCTGGTTTTTCAGCGTCCATGATCAACGCCCTAAGTGAAAAACTCACAGTGAGGCATTAACACCAAGCACCACTGATAATAAGGAGCAAAATCGAAAATAACAATGCTTATGTTTTCAAAGCATTTAGCAACTGCAACTTATTATCAATAAATAAAAATTGCATTTTTCAAATACATTACTTCTGACATGAGTGTATTTCTGATACCTCTACCTTTCTTTAATCTTTTCCTTTCCTTGTCATTCCCAGTATCTTTAGGGAAGGAAAAATTCCCTGATTATTTTTCTTCTAAATTGGTTCAATACATGGTGAGACGTTTTATTGGAAAAATGCTTATTGAGTGCCTGGCCTGTGTGTGTATGCGGAGAAATATGTCATGAGCAAGACGAAGAGGGCCTCTGTCTGTGGTGAATGCCAGTTGCACATTATCCCACCTCCGTCTGTCATTCTCTATGTTAAACTGCAAAGCTACACCTGGCAGGCCACCTCACTTTAAGAGCCACAGTGACTCACGGTGACCTTAACACTGGGTCACAGAGGGAGAAATTCCGGAGGACTGAATGTGCAGAACTTCCTCGTCTCCTTAATTATGGCATAAATGCAAGCGACATCGCACTGCTGCACCCACTGGGGATCCTCAGTACTCACTTGCAGATTCCAGGCGTTTGACATCCCTTGATGTTTCTAAGAAGTATCGCCGAAGAATGAAGAAAATGATGGCAAGGGGAATTATGGGTACTGCAATCCAAGGAATCACAGCGACTGCCACGGCCACCATGCTGATGACAAGCAGCAGTACCTGGAAGAGCAGAGACAGACAGACAGGCTCCTTAGCAAGAGCCCTGTCCAAACAGACTTTACGCATTGTTTTCTTGGGACTCCACTCCTGTCCTGCAAAAGGCTTGTTAGGAGAGATGAGCACTTGCTTCCCTTGCCCGAGAAATAACAAAGATGTTGGTGGCGCAGAGGATGTTTACCACAGGGCTGCTGCAGGCAAGACTCCAGGAAGAGAGTGTTTTAAAACTGTCTTCTTTTAACACGTTCGGTAGCTATATCAGGTAGGCATTGCTATTTCTTCCCTATGCAGTGGATTAGAAAGCTGTGACTCAAAGTAACACTGAATCCCAAACTATCTTGAACCAGTAGATGTAACTAGGGAAACTGACAAGCAGGTATCAGACTAGGAATCCAGCAACCTCAGCTATGCATGGATAAAGAAGTGGCTTAGGACAAATTCAATGCTCAGAAAAGGAGTAGATGGATTTGTATCTTTACCTTTGGAAGTGGGGCATCCTCTCTCTGGGTTTCCTACTTATAGTTGTATCACTGAATGTTGACTATGCATGTGGCTGTTTGCTAAGCACGCCACATGTATTGATTGACTCATCCACACCTCAGAACACACTTAGAAAGCAGTATTACCATCTTATTTTACAGGAAGAGACACTGAGGCACAGGAAGGGGAAAGTAACTTGATCAAATTTACACACCATTAGTTAAGGAACCTAAGAAGCTCCCATCATTAGCCATTATGCTGCCCCCCAGGATATGAACAACTTTTTATTGTTTATGAAAAATAATTTTGCTTATGTGGGCATCATAATTTGTTTTTAATTCTTCTTCTAACTACCCTAACTTGAAGGATATCAGAGTTCATCAACAGACCCAATAAAGAATAGATGAGAATTGAGTGCAAATGTTTTTAGAAATCTAAGACTTTTAAAAATAAGTAAGCAGGGCCGGGGATTTAGCTCAGTGGTTCTGGCGCCTGCCTAACAAGCGCAAGGTCCTGAGTTCGATCCCCGGTACCAAAAAACAAAACAAAACGAAACAAAAATAAGTAAGCAACCTCCAATGTCGGTTAAGATTTTTTGTTGTTGTTCTCAATTCTATCTCCTAGATAGGCATTAAATTTTCCATTAGGATGAGATCTGAATGTCTACCTCAGAGCCAAATGAAGATAGCAATAGCAGATGCCATTTAACCAGGCATTTACTGTGTGAACGGCCTTGTGCGAACTATCAGTTCTATGAACCTTCATTTGATCATCACCTCCCCTGGGAAGGGACTTCATCTTGGGGAACTACGATGGTCTAAAAGGACAGCAAGCAGAACAGAAACCCAAGTCACTGAATGCTGCTGGTTTAAGGATCCATCTTTGTCAGGCAAAGTATGAAATCATGTTCCGTGGCCTCGGGTGACAACTGAACCTCAGCAGCCAAGTCCACCTGAGAAGGTGCAACACTGACCCAGTGGAGGGGGTCCAAAGTCGGGAGCATGTGATCCATCTGGGCTGGTCCAAGGCCTCTGAGGTTCACAATTGTACACAGAAACACCTGCCCTCCCCAGACTCACCCAGCACTGTGGAAATATAGGTCTGGGGCCTGAGTTACCACAACTTGGAAAAGGGATGAATGGTGTGTACTTCATCCTGAGAAAGGATGCTGTCCTGTGAGCAGCTGTTCCCAAAAACTATATGCTGCACAAATGAATTTCTGAGTTATGCAAAAGTGATAAAGAAAAAAAAAAATGAAGCTTATAAAAATGTTGGCTATTTTGTTTTAAAAACTGTCCCCAAAATCAGGAAAATAAGACATTGCTGTATTGCTTGTATATATAGTAAATGTCCCTATAATAGTGAAGAAATTTTCTATGTCTAGCTGACAACTATAGAAAAGTATAGCTGCCCTGCTCTCTAAAATGCAAAAACAGACCATATTTCATGAGGTCTGTGTCCAACCTCTTAAGTACTTCACACACATTATCTGACTTCATTCTCACAGCAAATATAACTAGTGGGGACCACCATCGCCCTTTACAAGGAGGAAACTGAGGCTCAGAGAGTTAAGTGACTGTCTGAAATCAGATCTCTTGTAGTCATTTTGATCCCAAGGCTGTTCTCTTAATCTCTGCATGACAGTGTATTTCATATACATATTAAGATTTGAAAAACAAATAATACCTAAATACACCATCTTATATATTTCCCCTTTCTCTGCATTTGGTACTTTTGTTGGGTTTCTTGCTGTACTGGACTTCTCCTAAGTTTTAAAAAAAGAGTATTTCATAAGAAAGATGAGTTTTAAGCCCAAAACCAAAAAACTGTACAGGAGAAAAAAGCCAAATTTAATTTTAACAAATATATAAAACTCCAGGATACAAAATGGAGAACTGAATGTTTATATATTCCATATCTGTATTTGAATGGTGGTAAGAACATAAAATTTCCCCCAAAAGATTCTCCTCTAGGATCAATATTTTATCCTAATATCACAAGTTTGAACAGTCTTTTCACGAGCACAATTTTAATTATAAGGAGCTATTTGTGTTTGGCATTTACCTATCAAATTGCTTACATTTCTGTAGGAGTTTCTAGGTATCCACCTACAGTGTATTTTACCAAGAGGTTCTGCTCCTGCTAGTTCATGTGAGAGGCTTGTGCCAAAGAACATGTTTCCTATAAACAGCAATAAAAATGCAGTTTTATTTCATGCAGAGAGCCTGGCATCAGGCTTATGGCTCACTCCAGTCCTTACCTGAACTCTGTCTCACACCTCAAAGTGCAAATACGTATTTACTCATAAAGCCACTTAATCAGTGCACGGTACTTGATTATTTGCTTATGGTATTAAAAAATAAAATTAGGACCATCAAGATTTTCTAACAACTCTGGAACTGGAACGCTTTTAATTCTGCCGTCAGTCCCTAGAATTCTGTTCCAGTTTGTGATAAGTGCAAATTATCCAGGTTGCCTTAAACTTTTATTGATTTCACAGAAGATAGGACTTAAGTGCAATAAACAAAGAGGGTTCACTTCTTGGCAAGATTTTCCTCTGATTTAGAAAGACAAAAAACCTGGTGCCTAGTTTTTGATTAGTAAGCTGTTTACCCATGTGAGTGCAGAAGAGATTCTTCTATTTATTCTGGAAACATATGAGATAAAAAATTACCTCTGAATGAAATGACTATCATAACAGATTGTGTTGCTGGCTAATACATAATTCTTTGAGAGGCACTAAAATTCTGAACAGGCTATCCGAACCTCTACAAGTACTGAAAAGTAAAAGTGTCATTCCTATCAAACCATACTCATTACCATTCAATTACAGGGTAAGTCCAAGAAGAGGGGGAGATATGGAAGGCCTTAAATGCAAGCTCCTAATCCTCAGTGCTGCCTCAGTGTCACCATTACATCAGCAGGTGCAGCCTGAGTGCTACGATGCCACGCTGCACACCTCAGGAGTTCAGAGGTCCACTCTGGTTCCCAGGTCTATTTTGGTACAGGACCTGCCTTGGAGGTACAGGACCCGCCTGTTTCTTCTGGCCTCACCCAACTCAATTACCTTTGCTAAATCAGAGTTTTATAGAATGTTGTTATTCATATTTGTATAAGGACAGCTACATAAATGTTCTCTAAGATTACACTTTTCTAAACCTGGATACAGTAACCAGTCCTTTTATCCCTTGTTTGGCTGGTCTGATGTTTTCTTACCCACAGCAGCTCTGGGAGCGGGTCATCCTTCAGTTAGCTCTGTGTCCTGAGTCACAGCTAACTGCACAGCAGAGTGAATGGCTTGTGGGCTGTAATCTGTTTGCCAACACAATAGCAGGCGTTAGGGAAATGTGGTGACCTCTGCCTGCCTTTGTATTCAGCGGGTTTCTCAGATCAACAGATCCCTTTTTACTTTTTTTAGTATTAATGCTTCTTGCAAAATTCAAGGCAAAAGCCTGCAGATACATTTCTTTTAAAAGACACTCCTTAAAAATAAAGGTAGGAGAGGTGAAGACATTAATCAAAGAAGCTAGCTACCACTACCTCTGTAAAACACAGAAGCCATTAATTCAGGAAGGATCCCTGAAGGAAAACATTTCACAAGAAAAAAGGGTCAGATCACTGTAAGATATAAACAAATCAATTTATATGAATCCAAAAGCATAGCTACAAAATGAATAAAGCAAAATCTTAATGAACCCAGGAGAAACAAAGAAACTCTGACCTACTTAATAACTGATAACTGACCTAATTAATAACTTAATAACAGGCAGATTAAAAATCAAGGCTTAGAGAAGATTTGAAAAAAAATGATTAACAAGCTTGACTTAAGCATGACTAAATGGCTATAATATCATAGCTAATAACTACATTCTTTTCAGGTACATAGCTACTATGCCATAAAGCAGTATGGACAAACTTCAAGAAACAGAAATTATGCAGGATATTTTACTCATGGCTTTAAAAAGAAACCAATAGGGGCTGGGGATTTAGCTCAGTGGTTCCAGTGCCTGCCCTGCAAGCGCAAGGTCCCAAGTTCAATCCCCAGTACCAAAAAACCAAAATAAAAAAATAAAAAGAAACCAATAACAAAGTAGCTAGAAAATAACTACATGTCCAAAAATTCAGCAATACACTTCTAAACATCTGGCTCAAAGAAATTAAAACAGAAATTTTTTTAAAAGAAACTAAAAATCTAATAATATTAAAATTCGAGGGATCCAACTAATGCTGTGTTTAGAGGTGAATTTATAGCTTTAAACATACTTGTTTTTAAAAAGGCCAATGTCAAGTCTCTAAAAAACCACCTGAAGAGAGAAAAAAAACAGCATATTACACTAAAGTATGAAAAGAATGGAAATTAGGAAACAGTAGACATTAAGGAAATAGAAAAATAATTTCCAAGGAGAAAATCAACAAACTCAAAAGTGGGTTCTTTGAAAATGCTAATAAAATAAGTTTCTACACTGAGACTAACCAAGAAAAGGGGGGGAATTATTATTGTCATAGATTACAGGAGGATAATA